GTAGCACGTTGAGTTGGCTGGGAAGATAAATAGAGCCCTGATTTTTTCGATCTTGTTATGACCTCCTAACTTTTTATTTTCATTTTTGCGTTTATTTAATTCAAAAGTTTGCCAGCGCTTCTGTTTAACAATTAGGAAATTTTGCCTTGCTGCAAATGGTGTCTTACAAGTTGCGGTTCGAAATTTAAATCACAATCATTTCTGTATGACCGAGTTAATAATAACAGCTTCAAAACAAAAAATTTTTACTGGTAATACTTTAAAGTTTCACTGGAATAAAGAGTGTTTTATTATGTATTATCAATCAAGATACAAAAAAAGTTCTATCGGTATTTGGCCGAATCAAACAACTTATAAACCTCAGTAATAGATAAACTGTAAGGAACGACTGTACTTCGATTTTTGCCTGACTGGAACCGGAAATTGCAACAGGGTTACAAAAATTGTTTAAATCATAATCGTCTTGGCTACAAATTATGTCATCCTCTTGACAAGAATTCTTCTCAACTAGTTGCTTTTCAAAGCAATTGCAAGTTGTTACTAAAGTTCTGAAACAAAGCAGCTTGGCTGTCAGTAACTGCTGGGGTTCAGTAACTGAACTGTTAAAAAGTGTTACATTCTCTACTGAGCTCCAAAGTGTCCCCATTTTATGAAATTCAGATTTGTTGCCTAGAAATGTTGCAATCTTTGTTCCTTCAAATGCGTTTAATTCAGCATCTTCAAGACTACTATCATAAACCAGAAAGTTTTCTACTGTCGCATCCTTCAATGCAAAACTTTCGAAACTATCTATCTTAGAAGAAATTAATTCAAATTTTTTCAACTTTGCATTTCGCAGTGCATTACTCTTTAGTCTAACTTTTGACTGAAGAATAGTTAACGATTTCAAGTGGCGTGGAAGGTCGTAAATCAAGATTAGGTTTGAGTAAACTATATATAACTTTGACAAAAATAATCCTGCTTCTGAGTTAAGATTTAGAAAAGCGCAGTCAGATATGAGTAGAATTGAAGTGTTCACCAAAGGAACTACAGCTGGACTATCGTTTTTACAGTAACACTTAACAACACTTCTTGAAAACCTACAAAACATATTTTTGTTAGACCACTGCGGTGCCGCTTTGCAGGCTTCAGGTTGGACACAAAAATTTGACTCAAAATTCCAAGAAATATGATCCAAATTCTTCGACATAAACAGTGCATTTGTTTCGCAGTCGTTCTGATCACAAACAAAACTGTTGTTAGCAACATCTAAGGACTGAGCGTCGGTACCGTAAAACATGGTCTTGAAGTCACCACCGAGAAATTCATTATTCTTCATTATCAACTGATTAACCTAAAATGTACACTTACTCGCGACAGTTATCAAAAAAAGCTTTTTGTAAAATTACTTTTGAAAGTTTCAAACAATTAAGTTTACACAAAAGAACTAATGACTATTTGTGAAAGGCTGGAGCGGCTAAACACGAATTAAGTTTTTTCTTATTGTTGTAGAAAATCGATATGAAATTTTAATTACGTTCAAAATGTTTAAAGTCTTTTTCTGTAAAAAGATAAAAAGTTGAACAAAAACTATTCAGAAACTGGTAAATCAAGAGCAAAGACTAAAAAAAAAGATTTTTTGAAGTGCTTAAAATTATATAGTTAAGATTATTTTTACTTAAATGTGCTTCAAACCTCTCTTGGTTAGAATAACTATAAGCCATAAATATCAGATTACAATGACAAAGTGAACGTGGGTCAATAATGGGGGCATCAGTATTTCTAACGGTTGGATATTTTATTTTGTAAGAATAAAAATTATTCATAAACTAGTTATTTATGAAGTGTTTGAAAATATTTACAAAAGTTTTTTAATGCAAATGAAGTGTAATTGAAGCTTATAGTTGATACGCCAATACTTAAAGCAGTTGTTTTTTTTTTTACAAATATTACTTTTATTGTGTAAACAAAACCACTAAATATTTGTAAATCAATTACCTCAGCGTCCAAGAATGGCGATGTTTTGATTTCGTTTATTTTTGAATTTAGAATTTCAATTTTTTCAGCAGAATAATTGATAAAGCTGTTCTTTTCAATGACTCCAACATGCGTGTTGTTCACAATAAATTGCTTCATAGTTACATAAGGAAAAAGTTCGCTTGAAATAGTGCCGACCCAGCAGAAATCAAAAGACAGTGATGTAGTTTGAAATTTTTCAAAACATCGTAGGCTAAGCTCTCGAATTTTGGTTTGTTTGAAGGTCACTTCACCAATTTCTGAGAAGCGGAATGCATGCGTAGATATGTAATTTAAATGACTGGTTTCAAATTTTAGTTCCTCAAGATCAACAACAGTTAAATTAGAAATTCTGTTAATTCGAGAATTACGTATCGAAACTTTTTCAATACCTTCTGCCGTAATTTCGCTATAAGTACCGACGACATCAATCTTACAGCCGTCTACTTTTACTGCAGAGACGTTAGAGAATATAGTTAAGTCTAATAATCTAGTGGTAGAATTTAGCACCTTAACGACGTCTGCTGACGATGGACCAGAAACAGAATTTGATTGATCACTGGAATCAATCTTCCAGTGACAGTTTAGAAATTCAATTTTTTTAAACCTGCCATTTTTCAAAAAACCTTTAGAAGTGGTTAAATCTCCTTCAAAAACTAAATATTTAATTGCAGAATTCTGAAAAATATTATCACCAAGCGATTTGATAACTATCCTGCCACGAAAAAATAGGTGACTAATTTGTTGCAGACGACCTGAAAGTATTTATTTAGTGTAAAAATTCAAAAACCATTATCTCAATGGCCAGCATATCTGAAGAAAGCAAGTGAAAATACTTTAAAGTGTTGCGACTTCTACTTTTCTTCTACTTTAATATATAAATGCATTCGTGCAATAAAGCCAAATATCTTTAGGGCTTTCTGCCTACTAGTTTTAAACTTTGCCAAAAATGCACAGGAAACAATTAAGAGAAAAAGACTAACCAAAAGCTTGTTCGTCAACACGGGATATCGAAGCATCTCGAAAATAAAAATACTCCACGCTTTTCAGGTTTTGAAATGCATGAGTACACACCGTTTCAATTGTTACATTTCGAAACCAGAGATATCTTAGGTTTCCTAAGTGAGAAAATGCGTTTGTTCCTATGCGATAGAACTGAACATTTTCAAAGATCACTTCTGGCGGTGATTGAAGTATTCCGCGGAAAGCAAACGGCTCAATAATTAAATTTTTGACTTTGATTACCTAAAATTGTTGTTTCTTCTTCACAGGTTTCAAAAAGTTTCACTTTTTTACTTTTCTTGTTCTCTAACTAAGGCATTTTTTGAAAGTTTCAAGAGCTGTTACAGAAATACTCCAGTACGTCTCTCTAACAAAGTTGCTATAGAGTACAGCCCATGTCTTTCCTTAAACACGAGGAAAGATGTTGAAAAAAAAGTTATCTTTTAAACTGCATAAAATGTTTTAGGTTAATACCAATCAAACAGAGAAAACTTCTTAACAGCTTTTTACATGACAATTACTTGTAGCATTTTTTTCTAAAATACGAAAGAAAAGCGGACGAATGATACATTCTACAACGAAGAGGCTACGCTTGAATAACGGAGAAACTGCAATTGCATTAAGTGTACATGCAGAAGATTAAATTTAATAATAATTACTCTGAAACGATGACTAAGCACAACTCCTCGAAAGGTGTCTGATGCAATAACAACAGTATCGCAGGAATGAATGATAAACGAATGTATAAACTGAATTTCGTTCAATTTTGATAGAAGCAATTTTGTACCGTTCTTGCCTCCTAATATATCTTCGCATCTGCAATTTTATAGTTCGGTAAATCTCTTAATCGCTTTTTTCTTTTTTTTTTTTTTTTTT